ACAAGGAATCTTGCACTATAATATTATTGGGAGTTATTCAATCTACAAGGAATCTTGCACTATAATATTATTGGGAGTTATTCAATCTACAAGGAATCTTACACTATAATATTATTGGGGGTTATTCAATCTACAAGGAATCTTGCACTATAATATTATTGGGAGTTATTCAATCTACAAGGAATCTTACACTATAATGTTATTGGGAGTTATTCAATCTACAAGGAGTCTTAACTTTTTTCTAAAAGTATTTTTAATTATCTTACACTTTATTATTACAGGGAGTTTTATTGTTATCTGTTCAGAAGAATTTATCACTAAAAATTAAGATTGCTGGAATGGAGTGTTGAAATATAATGTTATTGTGCAAAGGATCCTAGCGACTGTATCAAACTACTAGCTCCCAGTGGCTCATCAATAAGTCTGAAGGCTTATAATGGTAAAATCTGGGTTTTGATACCTGTGTTTGGCACAATGCAGATAGTCCATTTGTTAGATTTGTGCTTAACAAAAAACAAACGAAACTATTATTATAAACATTATGATTTTATCTGAAACTGTTTTATTCTTTGGGACTCATCACTGTACAATAATAATGTTTTTTTATAAATTTATTTTGCTGTAGCTAACTTGTTATGTTTATATAGATATTTTACATTGACATACAATTTTGATAAAATTTGATTTTGCACTGGGGTCTAACATCAATGGTGTAATTATTGAGATAACCCTCAGTTTTTTACTTGTGGTAGTACTTAATAATTTATGTATATATTCATGTTGAAATTTTTCAGTATTATTTAGCTCAATACATGTAATATCTTTTAATGTAATGATGCATTAAAAACAAGAAATCTATAATTAGAGAGAACTAATACTTCTTTTTGTATTTATAGATAATTGTTTTGACTATAGAGATTTGTATTATCACTTCATGTGTAAGTAACTTCTTTGTTCTCGAGAAATGAAAACTGTAAATAACATAATTCCTTTTTCTGATATCGTGTTAACCTTTGTTGTATAATTAACTTTGTTCTTGTAAAGCTATGTCAATGTTTGTCATGTTAATAACTGTTGTAAAACTGAGACAACCTTTGTTGTATAATTAACTTTGTTCTTGTAAAGCTATGTCAATGTTTGTCATGTTAATAACTGTTCTAAAACTGAGACAAGCTTTATTGTAGAGTTAACTTTGTTCTTCTAAAGCTATGTCAATGTTTGTCATGTTAATAACTGTTGTAAAACTGAGACAACCTTTATTGTATAATTAACTTTGTTCTTCTGAAGCTATGTCAATGTTTGTCATGTTAATAACTGTTGTAAAACTGAGTCAACCTTTATTGTAAAATTAACTTTGTTCTTCTGAAGCTATGTCAATGTTTGTCATGTTAATAACTGTTGTAAAACTGAGACAACCTTTATTGTATAATTAACTTTGTTCTTCTGAAGCTATGTCAATGTTTGTCATGTTAATAACTGTTCTAAAACTGAGACAAGCTTTATTGTAGAGTTAACTTTGTTCTTCTAAAGCTATGTCAATGTTTGCCATGTTTATAACTGTTCTAAAACCGAGACAACCTTTCACCCTTCTTGTATAATTAATTTTGTTCTTCTAAAGCTATGTCAATGTTTGCCATGTAAATAACTCTTCTGTAACCATGTCATTTTTATTACATGACACTGCTATTTTAAAACATTGTTATTCTTTTGGGCAGAATATAAAGCTTCTTGTGCATATTTTCAATGTGAGAAGTGTTAAGATTGTGTTGTAAATGTAATGCTTTAGAAATATTTCCTTAAGCTAATATTTGATATAAAAATGATCTTATATATATTTGTATCTTACCCAGAACTGTCTTCCCCTGTTAAAACTGACTGTCCACTCATTGTGATGTCAACAGGTGATGGAATGTGGAAGATAGACATTGATGAACCAGCTACTAATAATAATAGCAAGACACAAGGTGTCTTTTACAGGTTTTGTTCTCTACCAAGACACATTCCTGCAGATCGGTGTGTAGGATCATCTTACATCAAAGAAGAGGTTCTACAAAACTACTGTCAGTCAGTAAAATGTAACTCTTCCTTGCTATACAGATACTGAATGTTACCTATATCTCTACAAAACTACTGTCAGTCAGTAAAACGTAACTCTTCCTTGCTATACAGATACTGAATGTTACCTATATCTCTACAAAACTACTGTCAGTTAGTAAAATGTACCTCTTCCTTGCTATACAGATAATGAATGTTACCAGTATCTCTAGAAAACTAATGACTGTCAGTGATATAGGTAACATTCATTATCTGTATAGCAAGGAAGAGTTACATTTTACTAATTGACAGTAGTTTTGTAGAGATACTGGTAACATTCATTATCTGTATAGCAAGGAAGAGTTACATTTTACTAACTGACAGTAGTTTTGTAGAGATGCTAGTAACATTCCGTATCTGTATAGCAAGGAAGAGTTACATTTTACTAACTGACAGTCATTAGTTTTCTAGAGATATAGGTAACATTCAGTATCTGTATAGCAAGGAAGAGTTACGTTTTACTGACTGACAGTAGTTTTGTTGAGATACTGGTAACATTCTTTATCTGTATAGCAAGGAAGAGTTACATTTTACTGACTGACAGTAGTTTTGTAGAGATACTGGTAACATTCAGTATCTGTATAGCAAGGAAGTGGTACATTTTATTCAGTCAGATTTTAATATATGGTAACATCAGTATTTAAGTGAATTGGAATTACAGTGTAGTACTGTTGAGATTTCAGGATGCCTGATCGTTTAGCATGAGCCACAAGTTTCACATTTTTTTCCTTATGAAAATGTGAAACTTACTGAACAAACACTACAAGGTCAGGGAGAAAATGTGAAACTTACTGAACAAACACTACAAGGTCAGGGAGAAAATGTGAAACTTACTGAACAAACACTACAAGACTACAAGGTCAGGGATTACTGAACAAACGTTTCACATTTTCTCCCTGACCTTGTAGTGTTTGTTCAGTAAGTTTCACATTTTATCCTTGATATTGATTATCTTCTGTTAAGAACAACTTATCAGTTGATTTTTACTGCTCGGTATGTGTTGATTATTCTTTGTACGCTACTTTTCTCTACTACTCAATCTGACTTGTTTTCTCTTATTTAAAGGACAGTCACTCCTTTAACACTTTGAAATATAGTGAATTCAAAACCCAGTATTGATATTAACTTTCAATCAGAACAATCTACCTGTTAATGTGTGAAAAGATTGTGAAAGAATTTAACTTGAATATATAGCTTGTATGAAAGTGCAGGATATCAAGATGTTAATGTAAGATAAAATAATTGTTCCAATGTTGAAATAAATAAGTGAAAAATTCAAATATTTTTATTGAGTTGCAGAAGAAGAAACATCAAACTAGAAGAGTTAAACCAAGAGGACCGAGTCTACAGACTGACTTTTTTCCCCAAAATAACCCATTGGAAATCTTTGTTAATGAGACAAAGTTGTTACCTCAGTGTTCACCTGATGTAGCAGTCATCAGACCAAAGAACTTATCTAAGAGAGATGTACATGAACATCAAAAAGAAGAAAAGAAAAAACGATATAAACACCTCACCCTTTCTAACCAAACTTCTGATTATCTGAATTCTAAAAATGAGAAACACATTAGCAATATCAGTACTACGAACCTCCATCCTGCCTGTAGCAATATCAGTACTACGAACCTCCAGCCCACCTGTAGCAATATCAGTACTACGAACCTCCATCCCGCCTGTAGCAATATCAGTACTACGAACCTCCAGCCCACCTGTAGCAATATCGGTACTACGAACCTCCAGCCCACCTGTAGCAATATCGGTACTACGAACCTCCAGCCCACCTGTAGCAATATCGGTACTACGAACCTCCAGCCCACCTGTAGCAATATCGGTACTATGAACCCCCAGCCCACCTGTAGCACTATCAGTACTATGAACCCCCAGCCCACCTGTAGCAATATCAGTACTATGAACCCCCAGCCCACCTGTAGCAATATCAGTACTATGAACCTCCAGCCCACCTGTAGCAATATCAGTACTACGAACCTCCAGCCTGCCTGTAGCAATATCAGTACTACGAACCTCCAGCCCGCCTGTAGCAATATCAGTACTACGAACCTCCAGCCCGCCTGTAGCAATATCAGTACTACAAACCTCCAGCCCACCTGTAGCAATATCAGTACTACGAACCTCCAGCCCACCTGTAGCAATATCAGTACTACGAACTTCCAGCCCACCTGTAGCAATATCAGTACTACGAACCTCCAGCCCACTTGTAGTAATATCAACACTACAGCCATAAGAAGTGCCTCTTCATCTAATGTTGTCTCACTTGGTGACACAGTTAACACATCATTATCAAAGCCACGAATTACATGTAGTAATATCAACACTACAGCCATAAGAAGTGCCTCTTCATCTCATGTTGTCTCACCTGATGACACAGTTAACACATCGTTATCAAAGACACGAATTACGTGTAGTAATATCAACACTACAGCCATAAGAAGTGCCTCTTCTTCTAATGTTGTCTCACCTGGTGACACAGTTAACACATCGTTATCAGCACACCATACAACTGACAATTATGTTATTGTCCAAGAATTGAAGTGCAAGAGTCCATCAGGGATCTCAGAAGATAGTCTTGAAGTTTCTTCACCAAACAGATCTAATCATTTTAACGCACAGCAACAGCTTAGGTTAGTTACACAACACTTAGGCTTTGCTCCTGATTAAAACTGATCAGGACTTGTATTTGTACAGTATGAATTATCTTACCTTATCGTAAAATCAAAATTTCTTAAGAAAAACATGACACTCAACATAGTTTTCATTTTGTTAGAACTTTATTATTACTGTAAGAGGTTTATATATATATGATTTTATTTAAAAATAACTGTCATTGTATTAAAAATATCACGTATGACAAGCAATAATATGAAGGTAAAGCATAAGAAGCCTCAGGCTCCCCTAGTGGCACAGCAGTGTCTGTGGGCTTATGACACTAGCAACTGGGTTTTGATACCTATGGTAGGCAGAGCACAGATAGCCCATTAAATTAACTGTATTTGTGTGATGTCATCTAGGAAAAAGTCCTGGCTTTGTACAAGAGATAGGCTTAAGAAAGAGAAAACAAGTACTATAATGTAATGAAAGAAACAAAGTCCTGGCTTTGTACAAGAGATAGGCTTAAGAAAGAGAACACTAGTACTATAATGTAATGAAAGAAAATATCCTGGCTTTGTATAAGAGATAGGCTTAAGAAAGAGAACACAAGTACTATAATGTAATGAAAGAAAATGTCATGGCCTTGTGTAAGAGGTAGGTTTAACATATGCATTTTGTAACAGTATTAGAAGTTATATGCAGTGAAAAGCATTATTTTCGAAATATTTTAGCTCTATCTAATGACCTGTATATCATGCAGTCGGACATATTTAGGTAGGAACTTGTATGCTTCTCGGTATTGTAAATAAATAATGTGATTTTGTGTAAACTTCAGTAATATCTATACAGGCATGCTTAATCTAATTCCAAACATATTTTAAACCAAGTATTTTAACATAATGTAATTAAATACACCTTTGGACATTGGAGAATGGTTGTTACAAGAGATAAAAGTAGTTTTATCTGAGAATGGTTGTTACAAGAGATAAAAGTAGTTTTATCTGAGAATGGTTGTTACAAGAGATAAAAGTAGTTTTATCCTAGAAT